GCAATATTTCCATTCAGATATTGTATTTTTCTGGTCTAGAAGTTTGATATGGTTCTTTTTATGGTTTTCATATCTCACATTATTTGTGTTTCTTTAAGTTCTTGGCCATATTTATGATAGCTTCTTTAAAGTTCTTATCTCACCTGCTTGTAACCCCAGTGCAACTGATGCCCTCTAAAACTTAAAAAAAAAATTAAGGAAGAGAAGTGAATTTAAAAATTAATTTCATCATCCTTGTCATTTCTGGGTCTGTTTCTATTGATTGATTATTCTCCCATTTATGACTAATGTTTTACTGCTTCTTCACATGTGTAGTCATTTTTTTTATTGGATACTAGGCATTACATGTATTACATGTTTAAGTGTCTTTCTTTAAAGACTGTTAAGTTTCATTCAAAAAAGCAGTTAATTTACTTGCAGATCAGTTTTTCCAGCTTGTTTGAGTGGGTTTAGAATAGTCTTTACTATTGGACTGTTGCTATTCACTTGGGGTTGTTGGCAAAATATTACAGAAAATATTTAGGGAAAGTTAGAGATTACAGTCTTAAGCCTTTTAGAAGGTTGAAGGGTTTTACTGAGGCAGGCCAACAGGTCCATTAAGTTAGGGAGAAAATAGGGACAAGGCTTTCCAAGCTAAGTCTGTTTACCCCACATCCATTTGTCTCCACTCTATTTACTCATCTAAACTTTGTGCTGAATGGTCCTCTCAGGGGGTGATCAAAGGGGAATTACCTGTTAATAGTGTTTACTGTGGACCAGGAACCTAAAGCTTTTATAATTCGTAAAACCACTCTTTTTTTCCCCCATGTATTTATTTTATTGCATTTTAGGTTTGGGGGTACATGTGAAGAACATGCAAAATTGTTGCATAGGTACACATGTGGCAGTGTGATTTGCTGCCTTCCTCCCCATCACCTACATCTGGCATCTCACCCCCTGCTATCTGTCCCCAGCTCCCCACCCCCCACCGTCCCTCCCCTGTTTCCCCCCAACTGACCCCAGTGTGTAGTGCGCCCCTCCCTATGTCCATGTGTTCTAATTGTTCAACACCCACCTATGAGTGAGAACATGCGGTAAAACCACTCTTTTAACCATGTTAATTATCCACAAGTGTGTTAACTTAGAACCTCTGTTGTAAAATCTTGACGGAATCAAAGTGTGGATGAACAGAGGGTCTGGGTCAGCCGGTTGCGTTTCACTCTGAAAGCAGCCATTCCTAGCCCACTTGAAACACTATAATGGTGTGAGAGTGCATTCATTCGTCCATCCTTGAGTCAGGATCTGCAGCTCAGACTTCTGCAGGTGGTGACTGACATCTCAAGTGGTAACCCTGATGTGATCAAGGTCACATTGGGCTAGTTTAGCTTTATTTTTAAAGTGTGGCCTTTTTAGGGTCTCTTTACCAAATGCAGGTTTTTGGTAAGATTTCCCACTCTAGTCAGTCAGATCCTGTATGTTTCCAAACTCTATTCAAGTTCTTGTGGCTGTTCAGCTTCAATTTCTCCAGTAGCTGTTATTTACCAGCCTCATAGGGTCTATCCTTAAAGCTATATCAAAGATTCACAGGAATCCTTATGTGTATTTCTGGAGATTTCTCTTGCACTTTGCCCCACAAATATCATTTGTCTCGATCAGTATTAATACCAATTTCTGTGTCCTCAACAAACCCTGCTTGGCTTTCTTCTATCCTGTTAGGTAAATAGCTCCAGAAAGAAATCTGTGGATATTTTTGAGGCTCATCTTGTTTGTTTTCCTTCCTTCCAAGATCACAGTTTTACTATGCCAATTGTCCAATGCCTGAAAACACTTGTTTCATAGATTTGGTCCAGTTTTCTATTACTTGTAGGGAGAGGTTTAGTCTGGTATCACTTACACATTCATGGCTGCATTGCCCTTAACGTTTGCAAAAACATAAACTCTCTATATAATAGTAAAATACGTACTGAAAAATTGCATAATTATAGTGTACAACTTGATGAATTTTCTTTTCTTGCTTTTTTTTTTTTTTTTTTTTTTGAGACAGGATCTCACTTTGTTGCCTAGGCTGGAGTGCCATGGCACAAACATGGCTCACTGCAACTTCAACCTCTAGGGCTCAAGCAATCCTTCCACCTCAGTCCCCCAAGTAGCAGTAGCTGGGACTACAGGCATACACCACCACACCTGGATAATTTTTGTATTTTTTTTTGCAGATACGGGGGTTGGCCATGTTGCCCAGGCTGTTCTTGAACTCCTGAGCTCGAGTAATCTGCCTTCCTCGGCCTCTCAACGTGCTAAGATTACAGGTGTGAGCCACCATATCCAGTCCAGTGAATTTTCATTAATTGAAAACACCATGTAATCAACACCCAGATCAAGAAGAACATTATTAGAACTCCAGTAGACCCTTATTGCTCCTTTCTAATTATTAACGCTACCTAAAGGTAACCAATATCTTACTTCTATTACCTTATATGATTTTTTATTTTGAAAATTATGTAAATGGAATCATATAGTATGCATTTTTTGTCTGAATTATTTCACTCAATTTTGTGATTGTGAAATTCATGCATGCTTTGCATATAGTTGTAGATATAGATTATTGTCTTTCCTGTATGTTATGTACACTGGGACAAAAGATCTCTCAGCAAAGCAATTCTTTTTTACCTCCTGCAGAAAGGGTACTCCCACTAGCAATCTTGCCATGAGAGTACAATGAACAAAGGAAAGCAGACATATTTATTTCTTAAGCATTTGGAGTTGTCCTTACTGCTGTTCTCATCTCTGTTGGGTGGAGCCAGACCTCACAATCTAAACTAAAACCCGACTGGCTAATAATGTGAAACTTTTCTAAACAGGTAAAACATTGGAGAGCAAAAAAAAAAAGAAGGAAGTCCAAATAAGGAAGGGGAAGGGGCATAGGCTGCAAGGTGGGAAATGCCTGCGAGCATATCCAGCACAAATGTCTTTGTTAAAGTACAAGGACATAGAATGTACTACGTGCCTGTAAGCATGTCTACCAACTACATAGTATAGGGCTTCTAGCAAAAAGGCAAGAAGGCTTTCGAAGAAAGTGTTTAAAGCAAACTGTTATTTCTAACACTTATGAATTTTTCTTAAACAAGAAAGGAAACTTTGAAGAGGAACTTTTCTACCTCCCACAGTGTATAGTATTATAGTATCCTATTATGTGAAGTGAATATTCTTTTTATTTATTTATTTTTTAGATGGAGTCTCACTCTATTGCCTAGGCTGGAGTGCAGTGGCATGATCTTGGCTCACTGCAGCCTCTTCCTCCTGGGTTTAAGCAATTGTCCTACCTCAGCCTCCCAAGTAGCTGGGATTACAGATGCCCACCACCATGCCTGGCTAATTTTTTTGTATTTTAGTAGAAATGGGGTTTCACCATGTTGGCCAGGCTGGTCTTGAACTGCCGACCTCAAGTGATCCACCCACCTCGGCCTCCCAAAGTGCTGGGATTACAGGCATGAGCCATCGTGCCCAGTGAGAATATTCTAAAATTTATTCATTTCATGAACATTCTTATACATATGTTTTCTAATGAATATATGAATACATTTCTGTTGAGTAGGACCAAATTTATGTTAGTTCAGGCCTTTCTTCTGACCTCTAGGTTTACATATCCAAATCTACTTGACATGTCCATTTATAAGCATTTCAAATTTAACCTATTCCAACCATTTCCTCCTCCTTTTGTGTTCCATGAATCAGTAAATGGCTTCTTAATCCATCTAGCTACTTAAGGAGTCATACTTAATATTCCTCTTTTTTGACCTTTCTGGCAAACCAATCTATTATTAAGTCCCTTGGATACCATCTCTGATTTATACATATCTTGAAATTATCCACCTCTGTCTCTAACTCCCATTACACTAGTTCAAGCCACCATCATTTCTGGCTTTGTCTGATGCAACTGCCTCCAACTGGCCTCCCAGCAGCCCTTCTTGCCCTCTTCCCATCTATTCCCCACAAACAGCTTGAGTGATTCTTAAATATGCAAATAAGAATCTACTTAATAATAGTATTTATTAGCTGCCATTGACCTTGGGCTGAGATGAGACAAGGGCCAGACCACGCTGGCTCCTATTGGCTACATTACAGATTTCAGGCTGTATTTTGGAACATATCTTAAGATCAACGCGCAGTTTCTCCTTGTTCCCTACACTCTATCCACATTGACTTCCTTTTAGTTCCTAGAGCACACGAAGTTCTTTCATGCCCCAGCAATCTCACACATCACATTTCCTTGACCAAGAACATTCTGTAAGGCTCTTTAATATGCCTGCAGCTTAAAAGGCACATATTCGGAGGGCTCTTCCCTGACAGTCCAAAATTAATTCATCATTGCACCCACTAATTTTCCCTCCCAGTACTGATCACAATTTATAATTCTGTAACTATTTGTGCTTTAATGTCTCTTGCTCCTATTACGTCTTAAATTCCATCAAGTGTTACGTCCACTCCTGTAACCCCGTGCTTAACACGGTGCTTGGCACATGGTAAACAGTCAGTAAATGCCTATTTAATAATGTACGACCGATGCAAAGGCCGGAAGGGGTTGCAGGGTCAGCATTTGGCACTTCTCTGCTATGGTTAGTTTCCTTCCTGTGTGTGGGAATAGACGGGGCTAGGTCCTCTCCTTGCTCACCCAAAGGGGGCTTTTCTCCCTGTCCCTTTGATAGTGTTTGCTGTAGCGCAGCCTATGAGAGACAAAATGCCTGCAGATACAGGGCGGCGAGCGGGGGAGACTGCCCCTATTTCTGAAGTCAGGGCAGTTCTGTCGTCAGAGGACGCTGTACTTTCCTGGCGCAGGTGCGAGAGAGGCTGCCAATCTCTCCTGGATGGGGTGGGACTAAGGCGGGCCCCGGGAGTGGGCGGGTTGTTGTGTCCTTCCCACAGAACCCGATTGGCCTGGGCGAACCGAGGGAACGGGGGCGTGGTTTGATTCCGCGGGTGCGAGCCACGTTGGACGCAGCGCAGCCTCGTCGAAAGGCTCCTCCCAGGCCCCACAATGCACTGCGAGGCGCGTCACTCGGAGCGGTGGGTCTCAGCTCGACAGGTACTTCCTTGCCCCTCCTGGTCCTGTTCTTCCCTTCTTAGGGGTCATTCGAACCCCTGCCGGCCGCTCCCCCTCCTCTCCCTGTCTCCCGCCGCAGCCTCGGCCTTCGCCCTTGGGACTGAAGACCTACCCGACGGGCAGGAGCCAAGTCTGTGCCTTTGGGGTGGGAGCTGGGGCCGCGGAGCTCTGGAGGGGCGGGCAAGCGGGGACCTCGTCCCCTTCGATTTGAGGGGTCTGCTGGGCCACGCGAGCGGCAGTTGCGCCTTGTCTGTGCTGCCTCAGGTATTGGGCAGCCAGGGGAGGAATGTGTGAGTGGGAGGGACAGTCGCCCTTGGCTGTCAGCGTAGTGGTGGGGATTCCCTGGCGCCTATGTGTCGGAAACACGGTGTTCTACCTGTGTAAGTGGCCCGCTAGAGCTTGAGGTGGCGTTTCTTATTTCTTTTAGGCAGAATGGGACTTGAACCAGTGTCTTACTTTACGTCTTGTGGGGATGGAGTGAGCATTGACCCCAAATATTTGCCCACGTTGGCTCACAGAAACCTCTTGAGACCCTGTCTCAAGAGTCACTTTGGAAACGATGTGGCAGAAGGGAGACCTAAGTAATTGGCTCGACAAGTGGAGGAGGTCTCCGAAAGAACAGGACAAGCCCCAGCTGGCTTGAATCTCTGTCAGTGAATACAGCTGAAGATAATTTTTCTCCTGCTGCTTAGTTTCCTGGATCATCCACCTGGGTCAGGTGGCTAGCTTGAGAACCAGTCCCTCCTGTGCCTATTCAGCCAAGGCAAAGCCTAGCCCAGAGCAAAAGTGTCAGGCACCAGACTGGAGATGTTGGGATCTCCAGTCACGGGGAACAGCCACTTTTAAAACTCTGAATCACTTTCTGTGTTATTGATATTTGGTTACATGCTAAGATTGTAAGGAATCAGGCAATGCCTTAACTGGTACCTACAATTTCTGGTATATTAAGGTTCATTGTTTGACTCTGACACCTGTGACCATAACCTAAATTAATGGGACATTCGGGTATTTCCTTTGTTGAAAACATCACATCTGTTTGGTGCTTTTTATTTATTTTTTTGTGTGTGCAACTGATTAAAATCGAAGTATGTCTTATGTTGGTATATGAAAGAGGCCCAGGCCCTATCACAGGGGTGCCTGTGACCTTCCTTTACGTGTTTTTGAGTAAGAAGTTTGCATATGTTGATAGTGTCTCACAGTGTTAAGAGTTGGGCCTGAGTTTAAATCCCTGCTTTGTCACTTATTAGTTTAGGGATTAAACAAATTCCTTAAGCTTTTTGGGCTTGAGTTTCCTCAAAGGTAAAATGGAACTAATAATACCTACCTGACAGGCTTTTGGAAGGCTTAAATGAGGTAATTTGAAGTGTGTGGTCCATAGAGAGTAATCAAATAATATAGCAAATACTTAATACAGTGCTTTTAGTATATTACAAGGCAGTGTTTCAGGTGCTTTACATGATCCTATGAGATAGATACTATTGTCATCTTTAAAACAAGCCTATGAGATAGATACTGTTAGTAGCCACAATATGTGGGTGTGGAAATTGAGATATGGCAAAGCTTGCCCAAATTTGCATGGCTGGTACATGGTGGAGCCAGAGTTGGAAACTAGGCAGCCTGGCTCCAGATTCTGTCCTCTTCATAACTACCAAACTGTACTGCCTCTTAAAGTGTAACCTGTTATTTTATTATTTCAGAATGAATAGCTAGTTTCTGTATCACTGGTTTCTTGCCTCTTGGTGGTTTTTGGAGACTGATAAAGCATTGTGATGTAAGATATGTTAGAAATTTAGATTGAAGTACCAGTTCTGCTATATACTAGGAGTGTGGCATTGAGAAAGTGAGCCTCCATTTCCTCATCTGTAAAATAGAGGTTCTGCCTACCCAAATGTGGACTATGTGGCACTATACAAATATTGGGATTGACACATATGAGTATGTACTGAGGGCTCTGTCCTAGATGTGAGTAAAATCTGTTGTGAAGCCTGAGGTCTTATACATACTGTGCAGTGCAAGCGCCCATAATAGGAGTGTCAAAAACTGCTAGTGAGGTAGAGTGCACAGGCAAAATGGTAGAAATTTCTTCCCCTTTATCACTCAATCTACCCCACACCTTCCCTGTGCATCACAGATAGTATAGCTTTCTGTCCAGATTAATTGCCACTGCCCCCCAACATTCCCACAGATCTCAGCTACCACTTTTAATATAATATGTACCTTATTGGTAGTGTTTCTCAAACTTTGGTACTGTCACATATGCAAAATAATTTGATTAGCAGATTAACATTTAAAAAATTCTCCCAAAATGTTCACACACATATTTGAATGAAACAAGTTCATTTAATTAGAAAAACCTAACACCTCAAAACTTTCACAGATATTGCTGCTAAAAAATAGAGGACAAGAAAAGTCAGTTCAAAGACCAGTATTAGGTAAATAGTACAGGTGGATGAAGATAATTCTGAAAGTGGCACTTGGATGACTGAAGACTGGGAAATTGTGAACTAAAATAAATATGAGTGCTTTTACCGCCAGTATAAAATGTTTTTATCTTAAAAATGGCATTTGTGAAACCATTTGGCTAGAAGATGTGTACGGAATCTACTTATATGTTGGGCTTTGTTTATTACCTTTTGAGAGATACCTTCCTGAGACATTGAAGCTGTAGTCATTACCCACACAAGGTCCTAAAGAAGAGAGGCGTCTTGTTATCTTAGGTCTAAGAACGTCCTAACACTACTATAGTAGTTTGGCTTTATGGGAATTTATTTTCCTCAGCCTCTACATACAGGTTTACCCAGATTTACCTAGATTCTAACTTGTGCTTTTTCCTTCAACAGTTGCTGATGGGGAGAGGAAACAATAGCCACTATTCAGATTTCCTATGAGTTAACTGCTGCTGTCTAAAGCGGGTATAATATTTTCTCTGTATTAAAGGTAAGGAAAAATGGACCAGTGCTATAAACATTTATCTATGGCCCTGTTAAGCTAAAAACTCCTAAATCTTCCCATGCAATTGTTGTAACCTCTTGCTTTCCACAGTTCCGCTGGTTCTTCCTTGGGATTTTGCCAACCACAACCCTTCTTAGACCTTAAAGATACTCTAACCTAGCTTGGGCTTGATATGGACAGATTCTCTTTTCTGCTATCACAGTCCAGATAAGATTAGTTTAAAAACAACAACACTACATTATGAATCCATGGTAAAAAGAAAAAAAGTAATTCATTGAATTGATGGAGAGACAGCTTAGCCTAAGCTGATTGGAGTCTGTCTATAAATTGGTTAAGCCTGATGTTGATCACTGGACATTCATCCCAGTTTGTCAGGCTTAAATTCAACTGGTTTGGATGCTGAATCAAATTACTCTCGTAGGAAGAGGTTTAATTTTTTCCCTAAGAAAAATCCTAACTATGGATCAGTAGAAACAATCCTCTGACAACCTTATAAGAATTTTGACAGGGAATATAACTGTTGTGTTCTGCTATTAGTTAAAAGCTAAAGTATGCATTAGGAATATTTGAGGCCAGGAGCAGTGGCTCACACCTGTAATACCAGCACTTTGGGAGGCCGAGGCGGGCAGGTCCCTTGAGGTCAGATGTTTGAGACCAGCCTGGCCAACACAGCTGAACCCCGTCTCTACTAAAAATACAAAAATTAGCCAGGTGTGGGGGCGGGCACCTGTAATCCCAGCTACTTGGAGGGGATGAGGCAGGAGAATCGCTTGAACCTGGAGGCAAAGGTTGCAGTGAGTGGAGATCAAGCCATTGCACTCCATCCTGGGTGAGAGTCGGACCCTGTCTCAAAAAAAAAGAAAAAGAAATATGTGAATTGTAAGTTTGTCCAACTTTAGTTTTCCAGTTAATGAAGTGAATCAAGCGGTGGACAACACACCTGTGTTTCCTCTTTTCATCTGAATTTCTCTAATTTTGGGGGGTGATGTTTCTTGATGGTAGGAACTCTTCATTCCTAGTATTGGCATGATTCATGGCACACAGTAGATAATTCAGTAAATGCTTGTTAAACGGAACTTAAAATTGTGTTCTTTTTTCAGTATGTATTCTGGAAAATATGGATCATATGTTTATCGATCTGTCATTAAAGAATAACTGTGAATACTACATGAAATTTGCAACCTATTAATAAAGACTATTCCTAATATTTCTATTAGGATCCTACAGAGGCCAGACATAAAAGAATGCAGTCTACTTTTATTTTACTCACTTGTTTTATGAGACAGGATCTCTCTTGTCACCCAGGTTGGAGTACCCCCACTCCCCAGCCCGGAGACAGGGTCTCACTCTGTTGCCCAGGCTGGAGTGCCATGGCATGATCTCAGCTCACTGCACCCTCTGCCTCCTGGGTTCAAGCAATTCTTCTGCCTCAGCCTCTGAGTAGCTGGAATTACAGGCATGCGCGACCATGCCTGGCTAGTTTTTGTATTTTTAATAGAGGCAAGGGCTCGCCATGTTGGCCAGGCTGGTCTCAAATTTCTGATCTTGTAATCTGCCTGCCTTGGCCTCCCAAAGTGCTGGGATTACAGGCGTCAGCCACTGTACCTGGCCATTTTAATTAGTATTCTTATATTACTAGTGAGTTGAACATTTTAAAATATGCTTATCAAGTTTGGCTTTAATTTTTATCTAACCCAGATTGTTCATTTTGTTTTAGGTCTTCTCTGTTGTTTGAAATGTCTATGATTTTGTCTGCCTCAGTCATTCGTGTCAGAGATGGACTGCCACTTTCTGCTTCAACTGATTATGAACAAAGCACAGGAATGCAGGAGTGCAGAAAGTATTTTAAAATGCTCTCGAGGAAACTTGCTCAACTTCCTGATAGATGTACACTGAAAACTGGACATTATAACATTAAGTAAGACTTCAGTTTGCTTCATTTGACTCACTTGCGCAGTGGTTGTCATTTTAATGAAGTTTAAGTGGTTGCAGTAGAAAGGAGTGATTAGGAAAACCTGTTCAATTACGGACACTTGTAGAAAGTGAGGTCAGAAAGGTAGGAATGGGGCAGGTTATGTAGGGCCTTCTAGGCCATAGTGAGTTTGGAGTCTATTGTCTGTTTAGTCTAATGTAGTAGGAAGCCATTGGAGAGTTTTAAGCTGTAGAGTTACATGATTTCATTTTGGCATAGAGTAGATCATTCTGGCTGCTCTGTGAAGGATACACTAAAGGAGAAAGGGTAGAAGCAGAGAGGTCAGGTGGAGATGATGAGTGTAACAAGCCAGGGTGGTAATGAAAAGAAATTGTTAGATTGGGGCTGTATTTTGGGGTTAATACCAGCAAATCTTCCTACTGGATTGAAATGGGATGTGAAGGAAAAAGAATAATAATCACCTGTAATTTTTTGACATGAGGAACTGGATGAACAGTGGAGCTGAAATGAGCAAGACAGGAGAGGATAAGTGTGTCTCATTGGTAAAAAGTAAGAATTCTGTTTGGACATGTTAAACCTGAGCTGCCTATTAGATATCTAGGGGCACTGCTAGGGAAGCAGCTGGATATATGAGTCTGAATCTTAGGAAAGAGGACAAGTATAGAAATTTAGATTTGGAAGTCAGCTTACAGTTTGTAATTAAAACCATGGGAATGGATGAGACCACCCTGGGAAGCTTAGACCTGAAACAGAGAACAATTTCTGAGCAGTTTGATACTGATTATGCATACAGAAGGAAATCAAAAACAGTCCATATAGGATATAATAAGCAGAGGGCTTCATTGTTGAGATGAGACATGAACCATGTCCTGAAGAATTAATAAGAGTTGGCTAAGGCAGGGAGGAGGGCATTTAAGGTATACAGAGGAGAGGCAGAAATAAACAAAGAAAGTGACTTAGCATGGCAGGTGTATTAACATGCTTATCCTGGTTCAGTGGATGGTGATTTCGGGATAGTTGTGAGACGTGTGATAATCAGTATGGGGCCAGATCCTGGACTGTCCTGAAAGTTAAGATTGAAGGATGTCACTTTGATATAATATGTTATAGGAAGTTCTGCAGGTTCAAGGGAAGTGACTTGATAAAAAACAACCCTGAGACAGTGGAATTTAGGGTGAGATGGACAGTCCAAGAGGAGAGAGAGAAGGCAGAGAAGCCAACTTATTATTAGGGCCTGAAGTAAGAAAATAAACATGCAAGTGAAGAATACAGTGCCAAAAGAACTAGAATGATAAGGAAGAGAAATAGTTTGATTGGGGATCACTTTGAAGTTGGATCAGTTCAAAATAAGTGATCAGGCTTGATAGGATGGAATACCAGAGATGAAAATAAGGAAGGGATCAGAGATGACTGAAGCCTTCGAATTGGACAGAATGATGCTGTCATTGTCAGAAATGAGATCTTTGGAACAGACTGTTTAAGAGGTGTGAAGCAGAAGACAAAGATAATGAAGCTCCATTTTGATCATTTTTTAAAACACAGGGGCTTGCTCTATCACCTAGGCTGGAATGTAGTGGCGTGATGACAGTTGACTGTAGCCTTGACCTCTTGGGCTCAAGCCATCCTCCCACTTCAGTCTCCCAAGTAGCTGGGACTACAGGCACACACCACCACTCCTGGCCAACTTTTTTATTTTTAGTAGAGATGAGGTCTCACTGTTTTGCCCAAGTTGACCTGAAACTCCTGGGCTCAGGTGATCCTCCTGCTTTGGCCTCCCAAAGTTCTAGGATTACAGACATAACCGTGACACCTGGCCCACTTTAATTATTTAAATTGAGGTTTTAGGCCGAGCAGGGTGGCTCACACCTGTAATCTCAGCACTTTGAGAAACTGAGACAGGCAGATCACTTGAGCACAGGAGTTTGAGATCAGCCTGGGCAACATGGTGAGACCTTGTCTCTACAAAAAAATTAAAAAATTAGCCAGGCATGACATAGTCCCAACTACTCTGGAAGAATTGCTTGAGCCTAGGAGGTTGAGGCTGCAGTGAGCTATGATCTCACCCCTATATTCCAGGGTGACAGAGCAAGACCCTGTCTCAAAAATATGTATATAAATAAATTGAGATTTTTGACAAGGTAGTTTAATGGAGGTGGGATAGAGATTTTGGAATCATTCATGTAGATGTGGTTGATATTGAGAAGGGAGAAATGCCTACTGGATGTATAGAGAGGCCCAGAATAGAACCTTAGAGAATGTCTACAGTTTCTTGGATTACGATAGTGAGATGTTTAATTGGAGTTTCTGAGGGTTTAACTAGAAACTATTGTGATCATAATGATTAAAATATATGTAAAATGATGTCTTAATTTCTTTTTTTTTTTTTTTAGAGAAAAAACTTGAAACATTTAAATATTTTGTTTAGTAAGCTCTGTTAGTGCCTTGGATCATTATTCTGAGTTTTATTTGTGAATATATAGTGGTATAAACAAATATTAGAGTTATAGGAGATTTGCTTGAATGTATATTAATTCTAGGTGTGCTGTACTTTTTTTAAAACTTTTTTTTGCAAATTTTTTTGACTTATTTTCTCTTTAAAAAAATTTTTTTTGATTTTTCTTTAAAGTAAAATGTAAAATTTTAACATCCCTTTATTCTATTTAACTGAAAATTCTAGATTTTCTATTTGGTTGTACTCTAGCTTATTTCACACAAAGGATTTGGGGCAATTTAGGAAAAAAAAAATTCAGGGGGCCAAGTAAGGGAGTCAGAAAAAGAAAAATAGATATAAGAAAATAATAAACTGAGGTAACATTTCCTTCTGGAGATGCAGAGTAGGTAGTTCATTCCTTTGTTAGAAAAAGGTTGCAAGTACTACCTTTGAGTTTCCTTGTGGCCAAAGCAAAGGGGGATAATCCATAGGATTTAGTGTCCACTGGATAAAAACATTTCTTTTTCCTGTTATTGAGACCTGAAACACATAGAGAGGACACCATTTGGATAACGTTCTTCCAGCAAACCATAATTATGAGAGTTTAGGACTGGGATAAATCATTAGAAGTCTAATTTCATCTGGTTTAAGAATACAATTCAGGTAAGTTGAAAGGAAAAGATTACCTGGCCTTAAGAGCCATGCATAGAAAAACGTCTATGCATGGTTTTTGGTACCAAGCCTTCAATAAGGATTGGAAAGTAGAATTTCTTTCTTTCTTTTTTTTTTTTTTGGAGACAGAGTCTCACTCTGTCACCAGGCTGCAGTGCAGTGGTGAGATCTCGCTCACTGCAACCTCCACCCCCTGGGTTCAAGCAATTCTCCTGCCTCAGCCTTTTGATTGGCTGGGACTGTAGGTGTGCACCACCATGCCTGGCTAATTTTTTTGTATTTTTAGTAGAGATGGGGTTTTACCATGTTGGCTAGTCTCATCTTGATCTCCTGACTTTGTGAGCCGCCCACCTTGGCCTCCCAAAGTGCTGGGATTACAGGTGTGAGCCACCATGCCAGGCCCCAGGAAATAGGATTTCTAGTTCTAGTTCCTTATAAGGACTTGGATTTCACATATTTTCTATCATTGGTAAGAGATTTTATGGCTTAGTTTCTGTTTATTGAGGGTTTTATCTTATATGACATTGAGCTTAGACTGAAAGGCATAAAATTGAGAATTTGTGTGTGTTACCTGACTTAAAATTCTCATATCACAACTCTTTTTAACCACTGTGAGTTTGCTAGATAAAACTCACAGATCTGCGGTAGCAACGTCATAGCACAGCCTGAAATTGCCACAGTGCTGCCCCCCTTTCTCCTAGCCATATTGAATGCTTCTTTCCTTCAAACCCTGCTTCTTTTGAATCACCACCTTTCTCATTACTATTTCACTTCTCTAATGATCTCACTCCTTTCACAGATCGCCTGTAGAACTTGCTTGACTGCCTTTTTCATCATTCATTAAAATTTCTTATTTTTAATTTTTTATTTCTCCTCTCTCTGTAACAGGGTTGTAACTGATTGAGGAAATTGGTCTGCCATGGCAGATCAATTTTTATGCCTCAAGTCTTAGCATTGTGGTTTTCAAAATTGTATAGAAGTTGAGGTACTCTTTCTTCACAGAATCTTAAAGTCACTAAGTGTATAGTTATGTGACATACCAGTTGGTATCTCACATTAAATTCTAGTTGAATAGGCAGGGGAAGACCAGAGTTTGGGGAAAAAAAAAAATAAGAAGGGGGGTAGTAACATTTAAAATTGAAATAATTAGGCTGGGTGCAGTGGCTAATGCCTGTAATCCCAGCACTTTGGGAGGCTGAGGCGGGCAGATCACCTGAGGTCAGGAGTTCAAGACCGACCTGGCCAACATGGCAAAACCCTGTCTCTAAAGATACAAAAAAAAAAAAAAAAAATAGATGTGGTGGCAGGCACCTGTAATCCCAGTTACTTGGGAGGATGAGGCAAGAGTATCCCTTGAGCCCAGGAAGTGAAGGCTGCAGTGAGCTGAGATCACACCACTGCACTCCAGCCTGGGCTTCAGAGTGAGACTCTGCCTCAAAATATGTAAGTAAATAAAATTTAAAAATTAAATTGAGAAAATTCCTTTAGTTTTCTCCCCCTGTGTATTGGGAAAATGATAAATTTCAAATGCGTGTAGTGGCTGGATACTTCCATTTAGCCAATGGAGCATATTCTGTGGAGCATGGCTTGTGCTAGCGCAGTTCCTTGCACATGTCATAATAGCTGCTAAATGAGAGAGGTTGTTTTGGGAGTATGACAGCATTCAGAGTGCCAAAGAGGTAAGTCTTCATTTTTTTCCAAAAGGTTTCAACTTTGGAGAAACCTTGTTGATTGGGCAAGATGGAGTGTAGTGTGGGGTGTTCAGTTTTGTGATCTCTTCTCACATTCCATAGTGATATCCCAATTCTCTCTATATAAAATTTTAAGGAATTCATCCGTTTTATAAGTTGAAGGGTACTTTCCTCAGGGTGTAATGAATTTT